TGTGATTAAACAATAGGACTCAGCCCAATTTCAACCTGACACCCCCTTCCCCACTGACTTCCCTTAAAAACGTCAATTTTTTGTTTTCATTTTGTTTCGGCGGGTTGGAATCAATTTGAAAATTTCAAAGTCCACACGCATATTTAAGGCTCTTTAAAAACCGTGTATTTTCTATAGACCCATAAGTTGAGTGTACTTACTTACTTACTCAGTAGCGTTACAACCCTTCGTGGGTTTTAGACGACTCGACAACATGCCTCCACTGTCCACTGGTTTAGTGTACATAACCTATAAATAGGTTCATTTTTTTTTCGAAAAAACGTATCAACTTTTATTTGAAGATAGCTGCATGTCTAAATTTTTTTTTTCTATTTTGTGTATATCTCTTATTTTTCCAGATTTTTCCGTCAGGCGCACAACCTTCAAAACTCCAAAAAACCTAGTTTTTAAGGGTGTTTTGGGAATTGTTTCCATTTTATAGACTTAAAAATAAATCAAATAAGCGTTTTTATAGGTTGTATATAATTTGAACTGTGTCCCTTATGACATTCAAAAATTGGGCGAATCACCTTTAGACTCCCCAAAAACTGTTTTTCAGGGTGTTTAAGGAAGTTTTTGCGGGGTTAATTATACTTTTTGAGATCGATACAATCTAAATAAACTTTTTGATTTTTTAAGTTTTATGTGAATAAAAAATAAGACAGTGCAATGTTACTTCGTCACTCCCTCACCTATCCCAACAATTTTTTGGTTTTTATTTATTTTTTTCGGTGAGCTGCAATCAACTTAAAAAGTTCAAAAAATTTACAACCACAGTCGTTTACAAAACTTATATAGACAAAAACCCGAATAATTGTTTTTTACTCGTTTTTCGGGGATTTTCCCTATTTTATATACTTCAAAATATATCAAATAAAGATTTCTATATAATTTGAAGCAACTGAGTCCTTTAGAACATTCAAAAATCGGGCAAAACATTTTTAAAATCCCAAAAACCACGTTTTTTCAGGGTTATTTAATCATGTTTTTTTAGATCAATACAACCAATTGCAAATCCAATTCATCAAACAAATTCATTTCTCAAAGCAGCAAGTGCAAGCAGGTTTTCAAGGGTTATTCGGGAATATTTACTGAGTTTACTCGACTTTTTTACCTTTCTAGATATAACATGAGACGGAATTTTACAATCCCGTAAAATCTCCAAAAACACTAGAAAACCGAGTTTTCTGCATGTTGCAAAAAATTTCTAGTTTCTGTGAATATGGGAAATACATCATTTCTTGTTATTTTATAAAAATTTTAAAAACATGCTGCTTAATGATATAGAAAAGTAAAAAAGTTGAGAAAATCCAGTAAAAACTTTGGAATAACACGTAAAACCTTATTTTTCGCAAAAACACTTTTTATGCGAGAAAGCATTGCTTCTTTAAAGCCTGAAAATATTCTGTGGGGCAGGGGTGACAGGTTAAAGTTGCGGTGAACATAATTTTTTATTCACGTAGAACGTAAAAAAAATAAGAACAATAACTCTAGGAGTGAGGGAATTTTGTCTATCTAACGGGGGTACACTCTGGGACAATATTTAATAAATTCACTATTTACATATTTGACAATATCCTTTAAATAATATAATATAGAATGATGGTAAAATATGGTTGAATATCTTCAATATCATTATTGAACATCTTTAATCATCACCAATATTATCATCATCACCATGTTATCATCTATAATACCTACCTACAATCTTCAAATCAAAACCTGAACCCACTGATAGTGCCGGCAGGGACCTTTTTTCCTATTTTTAATAACATTTATTTGATGAGATTTGAGTAGATCTGAGTATGTTATAGTATAGCTCTGCACAAAATTGAGCTATTCTCAATAAAGCTAGTATGTTTCACATTGTTCTACATCATCATTCTGGCTTTACAACCCTGCATGGGTCCTAGTCTCCTTAAGAATTTATATCCAGTCATCAATATCTATCGCCAAGCACGTATTCCCATATTTCTCATGTCTTCATCGATGTTACCAAGGAACCTTGTTCTGGATCTTCCTCTTCTTCTCTGCCCAATGCGTCTATCAAGGAGCATTTTTCTAGCTGGGCCATTTTGTTCAGTCCGCATTATATATTCTATCCACCTCAGACGTCCTATCTATGTGTTACAATTTGTATATTGTATAAAGTTCCAAGGTGCATGGTCTTCTCCACTTTCCATTGTCATTCACTGCTCCATAGATTCGGCCTTCTTCTTTCGAAACATCCTAACGTTTTCATTCGTAATGTTTTCATTATTTTTTGTTAGGTTCAGGTGTCTGAACCATATGTTAGGACGGCGTATCACATTTTTACAATCTTATAAAATACTCTTATTTTAAAACAAAAATCAACGAATATTTACCATACCAACACTATTATTATCTTTATCGCTTCATCGTTTATTGTATTAAGTTTAAATACCTAAAGTTAAAGCGAAATAGATCCGGTTTTACCGGAATATTTAACGATATGTTATTAAATATTCAAGTCTGTAATCTTATTAATTAATATGTATTTAATTATATTTTAATAATCTTACCGGAAATCATGGATTAGTCGAAAATTTAGGGTAAAAAAAATAGGAATATTGAACAACATTGAACCAAAAGGAAACAAAACGTACACTAAGTTTTCTTACCGTGCATTAAAAACACGGCGTTCTAATTGATCAAATCTTGACAAAAATATTGTCGTAAATTCAATTTGAAAGACACAACAAAGTCTGCGATCGGACTAAACTCTGGCAATCTTTTTCGCTCCAGGAATTAAACCCATTCGTTGTAGTTGTGAACTGTGATTCACGAATCGGTCGTTCCAGAACCGATCATGATAAAACAAAAAAAAATTATTTTGGATGACAAACAGGTAGGTTGCAGAACATCTCACTTCTGTCCACGGATATGATCAACTTAATCCTGAAGCAGAGTCTTTATATAAACAAGATGTGGATCCCAGCGCTACAAAATGTGAAATCTCTTCCCAGACTTTCAAAAATTACAGTACCAATTTGGACCAACCTATTAATTCTCGAGAACAGTCGATGGCCATAAATAGCGCATATTATATTCGAGGAAGATCATCAGCAAGTGATAAACAATTAGGTCCATTGCCCCAGGGCATTTGATAATGTCTGCTGCAGTTGCAAACGGAACATTAAGAAGAAATAGTTTCCGACCAAGAACGGTTGACTACATCTGTGTTTAGTGTCCTTGGTTCCCGACCACGGTCCATAACCTCCACAAGAATTCTTTATTAGAAAAATAGTTTTATAATTTTATAAAAAAATCTCAATTGGAGCAGTAAAATTTTCTGTTCTTGTATTAGTAGGTAAGAAAATTTGTTCTATCAACAGGAATAAAATGTGCGTCATATTTCAGATAGATTGGAAAAATAATAAATATAAGTTAACTTATGGACACCGACAATAAAGAAATCAATAATTATTTACCATTTCATTTTTGTTATGAGAGCCAAATCAAGTCCCGAAGTTTATTAATATTGACAGTATTATCATTACAGCAGGGTTTAGCTATCGATATACTGTGTGACTATTTATTCGTATTAGCACATAACAATCAAACGCTTTCAGTACAGAAAAAAATTCAACATACAAATTAAAATAAGCAAAAACACGCAGAAACAAATATATTTAAACCATTTAAATGTTGAAAACTTTGTTTTCAAACTTCCACAAAATTTATTTTAACTATTATCACTACAGCTGTTTCGGCTGATAGCCTTTCTCAAGTGATCTATTTTTGGCTTGGGTTTACAAATTTATAGTCTCTAATGAAATAGGTTGAGGAGGGGAGAACTGTTTATCTCAAGTTGGTCATTCAGAATTATATCTGTGTTTTTTAATTTGTTGATTTCCATAGATTGTAACAAAGATAGCTTAACGCCTTTATTTTGAATGTGAAGAATTTTAAATTTGTCATTAAAAGAATGATTATGATCTAGAAGGTGAAGTGCGTATGTCGAATCTGTTTTTCTATTCTTGAAAGCCCTTTTATATTCTGCTATTCGTTTATCAAAGTTTCTACCAGTTTGACCGATGTAAGTTTTTGGGCAGTTGCCACATTGAAGTTTATACACACCACTATTTAAGTGTTTTTTATTTTGGCTCTTGTTATTTTTAATATATTTACCTAGGTTGTTATTTGTTCGGAAAGCTGGTGTTATTCCTTTCTTTTTTATGTGTTTGGCAATTTTTGTTGTTATTTTGCCTGTATATGTAATCGAACAGAAGGTACTGGGTTTTTTCTCTGGTGGTGGAAATACTATTTTCAGGGCTTTCTTGTGTAGTTTTTGATTTAACATTTTATTAATTGTTTGTTCGTTGTATCCGTTGTTTACTGCTATTTGCTTAATTATATTTAATTCTGTCTCAAAGTTGTCTTTTGACATCGGAATTTCTGTTAATCTATGTAACATACTATGATAAGCTGCCAGTTTATGTTGTGTTGGATGGGATGATGAATTGTGTATAGTCGTGTCAGTATGGGTAGGTTTGTGAAATATGAAGAAGTCATGTTTGTTTTGAAGTCTCCTAATTTAAAATTAAAAGCTAAAAATCTATGGAAATCAACAAATTAAAAAACACAGATATAATTCTGAATGATCAACTTGAGACAAACAGTTCTCCCCCTCCTCAACCTATTTCATTAGAGACTATAAATTTGTAAACCCAAGCCAAAAATAGATCACTTGAGAAAGGCTATCAGCCGAAGCAGCTGTAGTGATAATAGTTAAAATAAATTTTGTGGATGTTTGAAAACAAAGTTTTCAGTGTTTTATTGTTACATAAAATGAATTTCCATCAAGTACCGGTCGAATCCATCAATCATTTAAATGTTATACTTAATAAAAAAAAGTTTCATATTTTTGTAAAAATATAGTGTATACAATGTTTCACCAGCGCACAAAACGTAACATAATATTTCTAATGATCACTTACTTGCTGACAACGAAGCTGCTGCTGAGATCGGTCGACTCCTTTGTGCTGAAGAGTTAAGACCATACTGGTCAGTCGCGTATGACGGCCATTCGCCATAGATGGCATTGGGTAAGTACGTGGTGCTTCGGTGATGATTGTGGTTGTTTGTAAAAGTTGTTGGCAACCTACTGAAACCAGGTAACGATGTGGATGAGGAGGTTACTTTAGGATAGTCTTCTGCTAAGGACAAGGATCCTGTTGTGTTAACACCTGAAAATAATAAAATATATGTTACTATTTGATATGTATCAGTGATAATTGATGTTTTAAAAATGCCATTTATAAAAAAGAACATAAAATAAGATGTGAGTGCGTTAGTTGAGTTAAAACATAAATAGACGGAATTCTGGCGGAAAACCAATTTAAGAATGGTATTCTTGCAAATATGTACTTAGTATATCATACTATAATAAACATAATGGCCCGTCAAAGTCAATGTATCTATCAATAATTTTTCTAGTGAGGAATTTCTGGGACAAGCGAAAAACACCAACATAAAAACTTTTATTTAAAAAAATCCTTTAAGAAAGGTATATATTCTAAAAATGCATTTTCGTATTATATCATAGAACGTTTTTGGACTAATAAGTCCATCATCAGTGCAACTTTTCAGTTGCTTGAGTTCCTTCAGTTGCTATCGAGAACCCATAGGGACACCTTTTCTTGGGTTGGCAACCACTGGGAGTCTTGAGTTGTCATAATGTAAATCTGTTTAAAACTACATCATTTATATTTTGTTACCCACATATTTAGTGGCTTAACTCATGTATACCTGGTAACTGCACTGATGATGAACTTATTAGTCCGAAAACGTTCTGTGATATAACCGGAAAGAGCATTTTTAGAATATACATAACTTTTATACAGGATTTTTTTTAAATAAAAGTTTTTATCATTTATGGTATACAGCCAACTACAGGAATTTCATTTTCCTTGTGAATTTTAACAAAAAAAGTGATATAATGCGTATATTTTCATTCATTTATTATTTTCTCCCTTTAAAACTAGATCCTAGTCATTGTATCAACAGAAAACTGGCAATTAAGTTTCGAGAGTGTTGGTATAACAATTTTATTTATATTATTATAATTTTCCCTTACCATTTCCCCCAATATACTCTCTTTTTGCATCCCTACATCGCTCAATAAGAACCTAAGGCTGTGAGAAGCAATGCTGCAGGTCATCCTGCGAAAATCTGTTAAGAAGGTGAGCCGATTTTTATTACACGTCCTTTATTGACTCTTGGCCGACTACTTTCAGCAATGATTTGATTTTTGGGAACAGCTAGAAGTCGCAGGGTGCTAGATTTGGCAAAAAGAGTGGCTACTGCAAGAGTGTGGCCTGGTTTTATCCAAACAGTCTTTAAGAGCATATTTCGTCATGGAGAATCCAGGAGATCTTTTTCCACAGTTAGCGGAATTAGTAAATACCTATTAACTGTCGAAAAACTTGTAGTGCCCATTTCATGTGAATTACCTTGGACTTGCTCATCCTTGCTTCCACTCCATTGCTGCTTGGTTTTAGGTTCATATTGAAAAATGCATATTTCGTCACAAGCTATGATCCTGAGTTATTTTTGATACATTCCATGGTGTCAGAACAAATGTCTTTACGATGCAACATGAGAACACTGATGAAACCAAGATTTTTATAGAAAGACTAGGGATTTAGTTCAAGATAAAACATTTAAACCAGCTTCAAGTGAAGCTGGTTTTAATTATATTAAAAATAATTAAAGCAATGAATATAAAGGAAATAATATAAACAATCACTATAACAGAAGTGGTCATTGTAAAGACTGAGTAATGATTACATATTTGTTATCACAATTAAAAGAAAATGTTTAGAAGTAACTCTTTATGTACTTTTTGTGGTATTGTATGTATAATAAATGTGTCTTAAAGACTTATCTGCGACTTTTATTTTATTGAGGTTTTTGTTATCAAAATTAAGCCAATATAAATGCCGCTTCCCGAAAGCCAAACTGGATAACGATTAAAAATACCAGCAAAAAGTGCGGTACCACGGTTGGTCGAAGTTTTTATACAATTATAATTTAGTAATTTATCTCGGTAAATATATTTTTTAAATATTTACCTACATGTTTATATTACAAACTTTATTAGATGAAGAAAAGTAACAGCAATATATAGTAAAATAAACTTAATACTTAGCTATACGAAGATGTATTAAGATATTTAGTACTTTAGACTATATAGTGTTTCTTTAAGATTTTATCCTAACACCTAAAAATCAGATTAGACAGCAAAATTGGGCTCCCATTTTGTGTCATAGTTTTAGACTTATTATTGTTTTATAAAAAAATTAAATTATGTAAAATTGCGCGTAACAATGATAGCCTCTTTCGGAATCAGATCTAACGTTTGAATAAACCATTATTCACAAACATCATTCCCCATTCATGTCATCATTCCCATTCATGGCATCAAAACCCGCTGTTTTATATAGATTTGAGAATGGCGTTGGTTTCATGCATCTCGTTACTATCCTGGATGTCTCATTTAGAGCAGTATCAACTTGTTTGGCGTGGACAGATCTGCCTCAAACGGGGCACGAATATTCAGCTGTTAAGAAACACAGTGCCTGTGCCGTTGTTCTTAAAACGCCAGGACGTACACCCCATTTACTTCCCGTTAGCTTTCTGATTATGCTGTTCCTAGTTGTTACTTTCCCTCTCGTTTTATGCAATGTCTTAGGGATTTCTGCAGGTAGTACGATGTCATTGTTTTTAAGGCAGTTTCGAGTTTCTTCTCCACTTCATTAAAACTATTTCCTTGAGCACATATTGTAAGATCGTCAGCATAGAGGAAGTGCTTGGTTTCGCTCTATTCTCTCTATTCGCTCTTCTATTTTTCTTTGCATTATATTTTGAAGTAGTGCGTATTTATGTCCTCTCATCAGGTGATCCAAATATTCGAGTTTTATTCATTTGATTGTTGACACAATTTTTGGGTCTTTTCCTATCCTTCGTATTACTTAAAAGTTTGTGACTCTTTCAACCCAACTTATCTTCAGCATTCGACGGTAGCACCACGTCTCGAAACTTTCAATATTTTTTATGTTGTTCTGTTTGAGAGTCCAGGCCTCTACACCATATAATAGCGTGTTAAATACGTAGCCCCTTAGCATTCTTAATCGTAGAGGGATGCTTATATATCTGTCGCAGAAGAATTTCCAGTTAAGAAACACAGTGCCTGTGCCGCTGTTCTTAAAACGCCAGGACGTACACCTCATTTACTTCCCGTTAGCTTTCTGAGTATGCTGTTCCTAGTTGTTACTTTCCCTCTCGTTTTTATGCAGTGTCACGGAATTCTGCAGGTAGTACGATGTCACTGTTTTTAAGGCAGTTTCGAGTTTCTTCTCCACTTCATCAAAATTATTTCCTTGAGCACATATTGTAAGATCGTCAGCATAGAGGAAGTGCTTGGTTTAGCTCGGCTTAGGTTGTTCGTTTGTGTATATATTGAAGAACATTACTGCCAAAACACTTCCCTGTGGAAGACCATTTTTTGAACTCTCCACCTACTTACTTTACCCTCCACCTACTTACTTTACCCTTCAGCATAACTAAAAACGTCTGTTTTGCAGTAAGGAAGACAAAACGTCTGTTTTGCACACTTTTCTTAACCCAGGCTACAGCAACCACACGAAGAAATAAGGACAGACGTCACAGATATCATGGAGCGCACAGCATGGCTGAAGTGAAACTGGGCGGCCGTGGCCAGAATAAATGACTGGCAGTGAACCCAAAAAATTACAGTGTGGAGACCATGAGCAGATAAAAGCAGAGGTAAACCACCTACATGATGGACAGACGACGGTAGAACTGGTAGAAATTAGGAAAGACATACTTTAGATGTAGAAGGCTGGATGATGATGATGATGTTTTGAAATCTTCCACAAAACTTTCAGAACTTCTGATATGCAAAATAATAATCATTTTTCTTTTCTGATCGAGGATTCAGATCCATCGATATAACTCACAAGAATGCCTGCCTACCTGCTTTTTTCTTGTCGGTATTTAAAAACTGTATATGTCTGTGTTTATCTATGTTTCGTATAAATAATATTAAATGTTTCTATTTTCTTCCTTTACTTTTTGATACTTAAATTGTCTTTGAAAAGTTTTCATGATTTAATTGTAGATAATTTCGGATAGTCCCTGTTTTCTTGAACACATGGAACAATTTGACCAAGCCAAAAAACATGTATTTAATCTTCTTTTATGTGGCCCATCGATTTTAATTTGCCATCAGCCTGGAGAAATTTTAGTGGTTTGAAGAGGTCTATGTTTGCTTTGATTAATTTATAAATTGTGGTCTGCCATAAAACATCATAACACCAATTGTATATACAGTAACATCAGCAGATGCGCCCGAATTTTGTTTTATTATTACGTAACACTATATTAAGAAAGGTATTTTATTTAAAGATCATGCACCTGGTTTTGGTCTTTTAGATTGTGTCTGTACAGTCTCTATATTCCCTATTCTATTTACACAAATCTTCTAAAACTAATTACGCTTCTAAAAAGCCGACTTAAAAGATTTGAACATCTCGTAGTTAATAGCTGTTCAGGATAATTTTGCAATGAAAAAGGTGCAGGATAACTCAACATACATCATTTTTACGACCTCTTTATTTTGAAACTGTTGGATTTTTTGAGAAGCGCAGCTAATACTTTAGTCGGTTACCCTCACTCCTTTTACTCTAGGCGGAACGCAAGTAACTCTTTGTTTACAACACTCCTGTTTAAACAATTTTCAATAATTTTGTTTGCTAAAAGTTTTGTTCAAAAATTAAGACTTTTCTTATAAAAGATTGGTTAATTTCAGTCCTTAATGTTGCTAATTAACGCAAGAGTGATTAGCTATTAGCTAGCAAGGGGCTATCTTGGTGAATTATTTTTTAGCCATTTAATTTGAACTAAAATAAATTGTTAAATAACAAAGTTATTGTACTTATAAGCTTAAAAAGTACTATTGATTTTTAAATCATTTTGTGTATATAAAAGTAATTTAAACGTTTGTTTTCATTGGTTGTTAGTACACATCTTGGAGAAGAAAGTAAGCTCCGGATTATTGATATCCATTCAGTCAAAATATCTGGAGCAGCCTTAGAAATAATTATCTCATTTTTCTTTAAATCTTGTAAACAAATTAAATTTCGCAAAAACTATTCATCCGATC